GACATTTGATTAGTAAAAGGTAAAATTGGATAAAGCTTTCTCAATTCTTTAAATGCACCCTAAATTGAGTTTCACTTCTTTATTTTTAAATGCTTTAGTCATCAGTTGTTTCATTTATGAAAAAAATTTTTATTTCTGCCTTGATACGTCGACTGCGGAAGGATAAGAGAGACTGCGAGTTGCGAATCGAATGCAGCGTAGGGTAGCGTGGTAGTACGATGCATTTCATTTGTGTTTCAATGGAAATCATAATCAAAAGCATTAATTTTGGTAGCACGTTTTTTCATGAGGCGGCGTTGGTGGCATAGTAATTTCTGCTCCGCCATTTGATTAGCAATGAGTAAAAAAAATGAGTTTTTTTAATTATCAAATGAACCGAATATTAAGCTTCGCTTTGTTCTTCGTGCTTTAGTCATCAGATGTTTCATCGTTTGACGAACAAAATAGATTTTCGCGCCTGGATTCGTCGAATGTGAAAGGATTGTAGAGTCTTGGAGTTTTGACACAAGCAAGTGTAGCGTTGTGTGATAGTACCATGCAACATCTGTGCTAACAAAGTCGTTTTCAAAATTGCTCAGTTTGTTTTCACCTAATTCATTGGCGGAACTGGCAGTAGAATAGCATGTGTTTTGACATTCGAGTAGTAATAATTAAATATCGATAAGGCGTTCTCAATTCTTTAAATGCAGCTAAAATTGAGTTTTTTTCTTTGTTTTTAAATGCTTTAGTCATCAGATGTTTCGTTTAAAAAAAAATAAAGTTTTCTCTCTAATACGACGATTGCGAAAAGATTGGAGAATCTTGCAGTTCTGACTCAAGTGCAGCGTAGCGTAGCGTGGTAGTACGATGCATTTTATATGTGTTGCAATGGAAATCTCAATCAAAAGCATTAGTTTTGGTAGCGCGTTTTTTTCAGGGGCGGCGTTGGTGGTATAGTAATTTCTGCTTTGACATTTGATTAGAAATGAGTAAAACAAGAGGTGTTTTTTAATTAATCGAATGAACCGAAAATAAAGCTTCGCTTTGTTCTTTTTGCTTTAGACATCAGATGTTTCTTCGTCTCAAGAACAAAACGCAATTTCCTGCCTTAATATATTGAGTTAGAAAAGATTGGGAGAGTCTTCGAGTTTTGACAATTGTGCAGCATAGCGTCTTGGTATGATACAACCTTTGTTCCATCGGAAGTCGCAATTAAAAGAGCGAATTTCGGTGGCTTTTTTTATTCAGGAGGCATCCTTTGTGGTATAGCAATTTTTGCTCTGACATTTGATCATTAATACTTAAATATAAATAGGGCTTTCTTAATTCATCAAAACAATCGTAAAAGGCGCTTCACTTCTGTGTTCCATTATGGTTGAGTCATCGTATCTTTCATTTGACGAGCGAAATAGATCTTCTTGCCTGGACTCGTCGAATATGAAAGGATTGTAGAGTCTTGGAGTTGGAGACACAACCGAGTGGAGCGTAGTCTGATACTACCATGCAACTTCTGTGCTGAAAAAGTCGTATCAAAATTGCTAACTTTGATTTCACTTTTTATTCTTCGGCGGAAATGCAGTATAATATCACGTTCTTTGGCCAGTAATAAGTAAATATAGAGAAGGCGTTCTCAATTCTTTAAATCACCTAAAATTGAGTTTTATTTCTCTGTTTCTAAATGCTTTTGGTCATCAGATGTTTTGTTTAACGAAAAAAAAATTTTTCTCTCTAATACGTCGATTGCGAAAAGATTGGAGAGACTTGCAGTTCTGACTCAAGTGCAGCGTAGCGTAGCGTGATAGTACGATGCATTTAATTTGTCTTGCAATGAAAATCTCAATCAAAAGCATTAGTTTTGGTAGCACGTTTTTTTCAGGTGGCGGCATTGGTGTTATAGTAATTTCTGCTCTGACATTTGATTAGAAATGAGTAAAACAAATGAGGTTTTTTTAATTAATCGAATGAACCAACAATAAAGCTTCGCTTTGTTCTTTTTGCTTTAGATATCAGATGTTTGAAGATGTTGAAGTAAGAAAGCCTCAAAAACACTTACTTATAACTAAACAAAATTCAAAGCAAATACTACTATACTGCCATTTCAGCCTACGAATTTACAGGGCCACAAAAAGTAGCGAATTCTGTTGGAACAAAAGCTGAATACTACTATCACACCACGCTTCCTTTGTGCGAAAACTCAACACTCCAAACCTTTCGCACCCAACGTAATAAGGCAAAAAACTCTATTTTGCTCTTCAAGCGACGAAACATCAGATGACTAAAGCATGAAAAAACAAAAAAAGTGAAGCTCAATTTTGGTCAATTTGATGAATTAGGAAAGCCTTTTCTATGTTAATTTTTTACTAATCAAATGTCAGCACGTGCTAATATACTCCCAATTCCGCCTATGAATTAAATATAAAAAAAACATAATTGGCATTTTAAATGCGAATTCTGTTGACTAAGAAGTTGCATGGTACTATCACACTACACTCCATTTGGTTGTGTCAAAACTCGAAGACTCTATAATCCTTTCGCGCTCGACGTTTTAAGGCATAAAATTCTTAATTTATCTTCAAATGACCAAACATCTGATGACTTAAGCATTATTGAATGCAGAAGCGAAGCGCAATTTTTGATTCATTTGAAACAAGAAAACCTCAATTATTTTCACTTATTTTTAATCAAATGTCAAAGCACATGCTATTACACTGACGATCCGCCTATGAGTTAAAAGTGCCAAAAAAATTAGAACTTGAAATTGAAACTTCGGTTTCAAGGAAAAATCAAAAAATGCACCGTACTATCACAGAGCGGTCCGCTTGTGGCAAAACTTAAAGACTATCCGATCCTTTCGCACCCGACATAAATATCCTTCCAAAAATCTTTTTTTCTCTTCAAACGGTGAAAAATTTGATAACTTGAGCATTATAGAATATAGGCGAGAAGCCCATTTTGCGATTCAATTGATGAAGTAAGAAAGCCTCAAAAACACTTACTTATAATTAAACAAATTTCAAAGCACATATTATTATGCCGCAAATTCAGCCTATGGATTTACAAGGCCACGAAAAAGTAGCGCATATATTTGCAACTTCAGTTGAAAGAAAAGCTGAATACTGATGCCTAAGTTGAAGGACGTGAGTCCCATAAACAAGAGGTTCAATTCCGCGCTTAGTACTTGTTTTATTCATGTTAGGTGGAATATTGCTGCGTTGCATTGGCAGTTTATTAGCATCTGTAGGTGCTTTATTGGTGGCTAGTGTAAACATATATTTAAGGGCCCGTGGCGCAGACGATTACGCGAGACTTCACATCTCGAATTGAGAGTTTCGAATCCGGCACATTTTCAGACGAGCAATCGTAACAGGCGACTATTCGTAACAGGAGACAATTCGAAACAAGGCAGTGGCAAGTAGGATGCGCTTGCACTAACATGCGGCACGAATGGAATACTTCGCGTGAATTTGTGCCCCCACTTAATCTAATGTTACTAATTGTCGCTTGTTACGAATTGTCGCCTGTTGCAAATTGTCGCTTGTTACGATTTGTCGCCTGTTACCGGCATATAGCCAAATTGGCTGATAATTTTTACTTTTTTAATACTTCTTTCTGCTCTTATTTGTTTTCTCGCTTGTGTTTGCGACGTGCAGCTTTGCATCTCTGGAGCATTTACGAACAATTTTCATTGGATATTTATTATTCCAAAATTTCTATTTTGAGGAAAATTCAATTTTTTAAAAATTCTTGAACAAGTTAAAAAGAGCTCAAAACTATGGCGTAGTGAACAGCAGCAGTCATCATTTCCATATAAATAACCTTCATCTGTGTTGGAGTTTTTGTATTTGTAATAAATTTAAAATCGAAAACTGAAAGAAAATTGTTGCAAAAAAAAAATTAAATTTAGGCTATTCCTGTTTAATAAAATTAGCAATATTATTAAAATAAATGGGATTTGATGTATCTGTTTTTTACTTTATACTTTTGAGTCGCCACGGAAAATTTTCGCCATTTTCGCAAAGAATTAAATTTTTCTCAAAAACCAAGTCAAATCTTAGAAAAGGGTTACAAACTGAAAGAACGGCTACTCCCATGTGTTCATTTACAATCGGCATGTCTTTTTTTAGCTTATCCACGTTCTACTGACTTAGAAAAATTCAGGGACATTTTGACCCAATGTTTTTTTTTCATTTTCTCAAAAACTGCCCGACAAGTTCTCCACTGCACAAGTGTCCTTAATTTTGAGTTTTTGGTCGTTTTTGTGGAAAGTTATTCACATTTCTCGAAAACTACCAAATCAGATTAAATGCTTAATCGAAATAACAGACGTCTGAAATCTTCTCTGTCTAAACAGCGATGCTCTTCTTTAGTGAAAAAAAGTAATAGCCATAAAAATGTGCAATTTGAAATTTTTTGTGCGGCGCATTGGTAGTGATATTGCCCAGCAATCTTAGGATTGCGGGTTTAAATCGCACGTGCGCTGCAAATTACAAGTTAAGCTCTTGTACGATAGTCATAGTTCAGTTAACCTTAAATAATTAACCATCGGGTTAGGCCTCTGGCAGGTTAACTAAAAAAAATAACGTTTTTTTTTTTAGCTTTTTGATATTTTTGAAAACTACGGTGCTAATTCTAAGATAATTGACAGAACAAGCTGTAGGGCATGCTCATGCATATGCAATTCCCCGGTTTGGACAAGGAAACCGCTATTGACTTAACTGTTCAATATTTGACCTTTTGACCCATTCTGTGGACATCATTTAATTTCCCAAAAGCGACCATGTTAATTCTAGATCGAGAATCAATCCAATGGAAATTATTTGATGATCTCATTGTGAATGCGTTTTTCTGTTTTTTTTTAATAGTGAATCAGCTATGGACTTGTTAAATAACCAATTTTTTACATTTCACCACGTTTTGAAAATAACGCAATAGCGTTCACATCAGTACATAATCTTAAAAAACTATTGGGCCACTAATTTTCTATCACAAAATTTGAATCATTAATGTTTGTTTGTTTGCAGTTGAAAGAGTGCTTGAACGATATCAAGGAGAAAAGAGGCGTAACTATCTCCCAATATGATTACGTCACACATCGGATGGTCCAATCAGAGGAGTCGAAACTGACCATCCACTCAGCAGATGTGGTGATAGTAGAGGGAATTCTGGTGTTCTATGACAAAGAGATGAGGGAGTTGTTTGATCTGAAGTTGTTCGTTGATACTGACTCGGACACTCGTCTAGCTCGGAGGGTTCTGAGAGATACGGAGGAAAGGGGTCGCAATATAGATTCTGTCCTCAGCCAATACATCAAGTAAGCTGCAACCTTTTCTCAGAATAGAAGCTTTTTTCATCGGAACTGATCATTTTTCAAAAGTTCTTAGAAAACGATTTGAGATGAAACAATGAAAAAAATAATAATCATTTTTGTTACTCTTGCGATAAGCGAGGATATTGCAATCGGGTACTAGATTTTTTCCGTAAACAATTTTGTTCACAGGACTCATTCCTGGGCTCATTCACATCTTTCTTTTCTCTGTTGCAAATATTGAGCATGTTATTGAGCTTGTTAGTATTTTGAATGTCCGTCCTTTTCGAATTTTGCTGTTGTAATTGTACAAACTCGATTTGGTAAGATTATTTTTTCTTTTTTTTTCTTTTTTCGGCTTGATAGGTTTCGGCTTATTGTATATCGGCTTTGTGGCCGCATATTGCGCTTTTGTTGGGCGAAAAGGTTTCTCTGTGTTTGTGTGTTGTGAGGGAGAGAGGGACTTGCAAACTTTTCTCGGCCTTGTTATCGCTCGGTCTTGTTAGCGCTTGGTAAGTTTTTTTTCTGTCGTCTTTTCCGTATTCTATTATTTGGGAATGTTTTATTTATAACTATCTTCATACATTTTGATAGATCTAGTTGAATGTATAATTATAGAATTTTGATAGTTTTTGCTGATGGTTTTTCGGCTTCATGGGTGCTGATTAAGCTCTCATTGTAGTTTCCGAATTGCGTATACCACCTTGCATTAGTACTTTTTTTGGCATTCGTGGATAAAATGTGTGGAACCAGATCTAAACTACATTTTATAATTGGTTATAAATTAGATATTTTATCACTATAAAATATTTAATATTAACCAATCATGATCCATCTAACTAACAACCCACTTATTTGTAAGTGCTGAAATTACTTGTAATTTCAGCACCAGAGAGATTTGAATTTAACTTAGAAATTAGTTACCTCTCCAAAAGACCGTTAGCCATCGCAATAAGCCAGTATACTCTAGATCTATTGAGCCTAGCAGAGACTAGTTGAACACCCTGAGACTAGTAGATATAAGAGTAAGATTAGGATCGGTATTAGACTAAGAAGTTGCACGGCCGAAAATAAGATAGCGTGACGAGCAGACGGTGTACCCTATCCGAAATTACTCTATGAGTTAGACCAAAGAACTTAACTCATGTGGGCAATGCCATGTTTTTTCTATCAGTTGTATTTTGCCGAAACATTTCTGTCGGCTTTAATTCCGTCGGCCTATGTACCAAACATTGTTTTTCCTCCAAATATCCGATATTTGTTATAAAGAGATAAGGCTCTGGCTCCAAAACTTTCATTGCTCGAAATCAACGCCATTTGGACCTCTTTAAATAAAGTTCAAAAAATTTAAACATTAAAAACGTCGTTTTTTTTTTCGTTCCTCTAGTTCTTTTAACATCGCTCGAAGTCCTCTTTTTTTTAGTTTTTGAGCGTCTTGCTGTTTTAACCTTGAACTTGTTTTTATCGGAAATGGTGCGAAGATCAGCTTTGCCGCTGTGTGAAAAGTTTTATGATTACCATATTTTTAAAATTTAAATGAGAAGATTCCCAAAAAATTACATAGTTGTCACATTTTGGTTAAAACGTATCTTAATTTTTAAATCTAATAGGTTTAGCCGTAGTATTACCTGTGAAGAACCTTGCTGCTGTGTTAGATTTGTGAAGCCAGCCTTTGAGGAGTTCTGTCTGCCGACTAAGAAGTACGCCGACGTCATCATTCCTCGAGGCAACGACAACAAAGTGGCTGTGGGACTCATCGTCCAACACATCCAAGACCTACTCCAGTGCAATGCGAACAGTCGCCGCAGTTCCATCCGAGGCGGAGATTCCAAGTCGTCGGGGTCATCTCGCGGGTCATCTATTCCGGGAAGCCCGTTGAACAAAAGCACGGACCATATCAATAACACCAATCACGCGCCAAAACTACCTGCTAACTCTCAGCTGATCCCCGCTGCATCATCGTCGGCAAGTAAAGCCTCAGCAGCCGAAAGTAAGTCGGCTTCTACATCGAGTGCTGCGAAGGGATCAACGAAGGGCAAAAGCAAACAAGTATTGGCTGCGAATACATCTCAGGTCAACTCAATGTTATGTCACACGGAAGAATTTCCAGCTATCAACGCCAACCAGTGCTCCTCTGCGTCTGCTAATATGACGAACAGTGTGCACTAACAAAACTCAGACTGTCACTATGGGGCTAGTCTTATGACAGAAGAGTTGAATAGCAGAAGTTTTCTAACCAATCAAATTCTTCCAAGCTGCCTCCAATTATAGCTGAGCTATCAAGCTTACTCTCCGATTTTTGAATTCTACAATAGGATTAGCAAGATAACTTTCTGTTATTCTATCCTTCTGCTGTGAGGGCTCCACCTCAAACTAGACGTGTTCAATATTATGTTTGTTCTGTGCAGGAAACTACAAACGCAGAAACTTTTCTCAGTTTTGCTTAATGGAGCAATTCGGAATTTATTTAAGATGGTGACAAGGTTATAGTTTTTCTATATATATTTTTATTTTGCTTGCCATAGCTGTTCGCCAACTTTTTGGGGCTCAAGGTTTTTTATCTGGTCACTTGTTTGAAAATTACACTTGCTTGATCAAGCTTCTTGTCAAATAATATTTTGTTGGTTTTTTCAATCGACTTTGATTTTATGCATATTTCTTTAAGATGACTTCCTCCGCGAATGGATGATCAGTAATCTTTTTGGCCGTTGCTACCTTATGCAAGTGACAAGAAGAAATAGTCTTCTTTGGAAAAGGCAAGCTCCAATATCGAACAACAAAAGTGTAAAGATCACGAAAAAGTTGATCTACTTCCAGTTTCGAAATTGGACTTTTATTTTTGAGAGTCGATGATTGTAGTTCAGACTCTTGCATAGGTCGTGAGGACGAAAAGTCTTAAAATTTGTTCAGGCTCAAATTTCCTTTTTCTAGGTTTGACTTGTGATATCTTTTTGAGTTAAGTTCATTTCCTTTGTTAAAAGGAAGGCAATTTCCACTATCGAACAGCGAAAGTGTAAAAGTCCCGAAAAACGAGATCGACTTCTAATATCAAAAGTGGTTTTTAATCATCCGATTTCCCAGCGAAAAACAGTTTTATCTATTGATCCAGTTTTCTCAAATTGAATTGATTTTATCAAAGAAAATTGCAAAAATAAATTGTTCTAGAAATTCAAAGAGCTCTAAGGCTATCTATTTCTTCTTTGAATGTCGAAAATTGAGATTTTTTTTGAAAATTAAGTCTGTTTTTTTTTGTTTCTGCATACTTGAGTGCTTTGACTCTTTTCCAACTGTTGGTTGGCTATGATCAGATTTACCAGCGGAATAAACGTTTTCCCAATTGACTCAGTTTTTTCGAACGGGGTTAATTTTACCACAAAAATGTCAATCATAAATTGTTCTTGAAATTCAAAAGAGATTCAAGGCCATATTACTTCGAAATTCGAATTTCAAAAAACCAGTCAATTTTTCTGTAGGTTTCCAACTATTTTTCATTTGTCTGTTGGCCATGTTCTTTTGAACAAAAAAGAAAGAATTAGCAGATTATTGATATCATTCGAATACAGCAAAATTCATTCAAGTTTATTGGCCTTACATAATTTGAGTAAAGAATTCGTCGGCCAATCGTATAAATTCGGTCTCAATATTTCACCTTCAATAATTTTTTGCCAAGATATAAGGTTTTCATTCTCAAAATTTTGTCCAGGTCTCGAAAATTGTGTTTCTTCATAGCGGGGTATTTCTTTTGGCTCGCACATCGAGCTTTTAGACGACATTGCATTTTCTTGTAATATATTTTTTCCCAAAATTTAGTCCACAGGTTCTTAGGGCCTTGATCCAACCACTATTGCAACTCTCGCAAACGTTTGTAGTTCGAATGTCAACTGGTCGATCGAAAACGTTTCACTTGTCCATCAGAATCGGACCCAAAATCCAAAAAAATGCAAATGATGCTGGGGTAACATGCAAGACATTAAAGGATTTCGTGGGAGACGTTATAGTATTTAGTAGCTAACAGTAATGACATCAACACAATTCTGGATGGTATGGGACCGTTTTTACTTAGGGAGAGGCTGTGATTACCTGTGTTTCTGCATTATTTGATAAAAGTGGTTTGGTGATATCGCAATTCGATTGGCTGTTAACTGTTTCATCATATATCTCATTGATAATGTGAGACCGTTCTTCCATCTCAGGTACTAGCAAATGCTCGTGCTCAGTTTTTATCGCTAAAGCTAGCAGTTTCGCATTGCGAGTTGCAGCACTGCCAAAGCAAATTTTTGCTGTTGAAGCCTAAAAAAGACATCTCAGCTTTCTTCTTGAACTAAATCTACGATTGAACTGATTTACTTATTTAAAACCGCATTTAACCAAAATCAATTGACTTCTATCTATAACTCCTGAAATAATTTACACTCTTTGCGAATCACTAGTTTTATTCAGTCGGATTGGTGATTTTTCGTTTCCCAACTTTTGCTGCACAACATTTTCGGTGCAACGCGACTCGGGAACGAACCAAAGATTAGAAACAAAGAGGAAAGTTAAAAATGTCATCACCTGCTAGTGACATGAGCAACGTGACGCTCACTCTTCCTGCTTTGAAGCGATCAAGAAGTGCCGATCGGAAAATGCCGTCTCAGCAATCTTCAACAAAGAGGCATCTGCTCTAACCTACAAGGAAATTGGAACTCTCAAGGCCAATCTCACGATGTGCGAACGAAAGAAAAAGGAACTGGAAGAGCTTAATCAGCAAATTTCAAATATTCTAAACGATGATGAAGATGCACTTGAAGTTGAATTGGAAGAAGCTGAGAAAATCTACCTTCAAGTAGATTGTTTGATGGAAATGATCACAACTGTGTTAGATGACCGAGGAAAATATTCAACTGAATCGGTCAAAAATGACGACAGCGCAAGCGGAACAGGATCCTACAAATCAACTTCCCAACGTGGTGCTGGCCGAAACCAAGATACTTGCCTGAAGTTGTCGAAACTGAATTCGCCAACATTTAGCGGAAGGTATGATCAATGGCTTCCTGTCTTAGATTCCTTTGATGGAGCAGTTCACTCAAATGCATCGCTGTCTGATGTTCAGAAACTGCAATACCTAAAGGGTGCCCTCAAGGATGAACCGTTTTGTTTGCTATCCCACTTGCCTACTACAAACGCGAACTACTCAGTCGCAACGGAACTTCTAAAGGATCGATATGCTGATGTCAAGATGATCTCACACGCTCACTTGGAAGCAATTTTTGAATTCACTCCAATGAAGCATGAGTCATCCGCTGCAATATGTCGCTTGATTAACACCTACACGGAAAACACAATGGCACTGACAGGACTTGGACTAAAAATTGATCAATGCGATTTGATCTGGGTTCACGTTTTGGCCAAGAAATTAGATCCAGAAACTAGAAGACAATGGGAACTTTCCTGCGCGGGAAGTGACGTGCCAAAAATCAAACAGATGAAGAAGTTCTTGGAGGAACGATCTCGCGCCCTAGAAGCTACGAAGGACCTCCAGTTACCTTCAATTCATAGAAAAAATCATCAAGGAAATTCAGACCAATCTGGAAACTCTAAGAAAGATGACAAGGTACAGACATACCACACGAACTCTGCTAAGACGATCATCTGCCCATGCTGCAGTGGTGATCACCGTGTGTATCAATGCACAAAATTTCAGGAAATGTCTATTTCCAATAGAAGACAAGAAGCCAAATCAAAGCGATTATGCTTCAATTGCCTGTCCCTTGGACACCAAAATCATGAGTGCAAGTCGAAGTCAACGTGCCAAACCTGTCGAAAGGGTCATGAATTGTTACTTCACATCCATACAGACCCGAACAAGCAACCGGGACCTGAAAACAAGTTTGCGGGTCACGGGGGTACTACCGGTGCCACTACCATACTGGGAACTGTACTAATTGAGGTGAAAACTGCAAATGGCGGTTATCACAATTGTCGAGCCTTACTGGACAGCGGATCTGAATACAGTTTCGTTACAACCAGCTGTGCTAACCGACTCAAGCTACCAATCAAGAAATTGACTCTTCAACTAACTAGAGTTGGCGGAGGAGCAAAAACTGTGAAGTCTGGTTCTGTCAATCTGGAAACAAAGGATTCTCAGAATCAATCTCTACATATTGAAGCCTTCACTCTTCAAAAACTTTCTGGCTACCTGCCCAGAGAACGGGTGAATATACCGAACAGTTTGGATATCACACGTCTTAAGCTCTCGGACCCAGACTTTGATAAACCAAAGGAAATCGATATAATCCTAGGCTGTGATGTGTACAACGACATTGTTGGCTGCGGAAAGATTAAGCTTACAGACAAGCTTTATGCACGTGACACTCTATTTGGTTGGATGATTAGCGGCAGAACAACTGGTCTTCCAACAACCTTCTTCAAGTCATTTCATGTGTCTATTGACGATATTCTAAGGAAATTTTGGGAATTAGAAGAAATTCCTGATTTCAAAAAGACAACAACAGAAGAAGATCGATGTGAATCTCACTTTAAGGAAACAACCATACTACAAAATGGACGATTAACCGTGCAGCTGCCTTTCAAGCCCAATAGTCAACTTGGCGACAGTTTAGCACAAGCAAAACGCAGATTCAATTATCTCGAGCGACGACTGGAACAGAATCCAGAACTAAAAGATCGCTATACCGCATTTATAGACGAATTTCTCGATATGGGGCATATGGAGTACATAACGCCTGGAGAAATCGAAAAGCCAGTTGATAGCATCACTGCGTTTTCAAGGAAGATTCTACTACCACAAAGCTACGTGTAGTTTTCGACGGATCTGCAACAACATCAACCGGACAATCACTCAACGACACTTTGATGGTTGGTACCACGGTACAAGACGACCTCTACTCGATAATCATGCGCTTTAGGTTCTACCCAATTGCTTTATCAGCAGATATCGCAAAAATGTACCGACAAGTTGCTCTAGAGGACAAATCGAAGGATTTCCATCGCATCTTTGGAGATCAAATAAATCGGATGAAATCAAGAATCTCAGGATGACACGTGTTACATATGGAATAGCTTCGTCAGCTTTTCACTTAACAAGATGCCTCAATGAAGTAGCAGATCAATCTAAGAACCCAATGATCAAAGAAAGTCTCAAAAATTGTTTCTATGTAGACGACTTTCTTGGTGGCGCTAATGATAAGCATGAAGCAGAAAGACTCATCTCTGATTTATGCGAAGAGCTGAACTCTCATGAATTCCCTCTACGAAAATGGACTTCAAGCAATGCTAAAATAATTGAAGGATTGCCAGAACATCTCCGCGAGAAATCGGATGTGCTGGAACTTTTCTCTGACGAATACAAAATCAAGGTGCTAGGAGTCAGTTGGAAGCCCAATAAGGACATCTTTTGTTTTTCAACTGCCTTACCAGAGCTGAAACTGCTTACAAAGAGGACTCTTCTGTCCACAATTTCAAAATTGTTTGATCCGATGGGATGGCTAGCTCCATTCATCATCAATTTCAAATGTCTCATGCAACAGCTATGGGTCCAAGGTTTTGATTGGGATTCTGAAGTCGATCAGAAAACCAAGGAAAAATGGTATGAGCTCACCGGAACATTGCCTCAACTACTGGAACTACAGATACCAAGATCTATGAGCTCACATCCAATAAAGGAGGTTCAACTTCACGTATTCTGTGATGCTTCCGAAAAAGCATATGCAGCCGCAATCTATGCAAGAATTACCAATGATGATGGCAAAACTTTTGCGTATCTACTGACCTCCAAAACAAAGGTTGCTCCGGTCAAAGCAATCTCTGCTCCCAAATTAGAGCTCTGCGGTGCAAGTTTAGCTACCAAACGTCTTAAATCAGTTCATTCAATTTTGAGGAAAACAAATCAGCTGATCTTCCTATAGAAAGAATAACACCCGCGAAACCATTTGCTCAATGTGGAATAGACTTTGCTGGTCCCTTTGAAATTAAGGAAGCAGAGGTCTCAAAAACTTCACACGCCTGGACTGATTCAACAATTGTCTTGCAATGGCTTGCTCAACTTCCAAGAACGTGGAACACTTTTGTTGCAAACAGAGTTTCACAAATACAAGAGACCCTACCCAGAAGTGATTGGAAACACGTGCCAACAGCAGTAAATCCAGCTGATTTAGCCTCTCGTGGTGTATTAGCTGACACATTAATATCTTCCTCACTCTGGTGGAATGGACCAGATTGGCTGACCAAGGATGAAAGGCACTGGCCCAACCTACAACCGTCTCTAGTTGAAGCACCTGAAAAACGAACCATCAAAGCCAAGACTAATGCAGAAAGTGAACAAATTCTACTGTTCTCGCAAATCATGGTCAAAACGAAGAAATGATGGATGGAATTTTTCGTTTAAAGGACTACAGCACTTGGAACAAGACAGTACGCATCGCATGCTATGTACTATCATTTGTTCAACATCTTAAGCGTAGAATATCGACAAACTATCGGAAGCGGCTCAGATCTAAGCGGACATCTGATGTACAACTTGAAGAAGTTTGTCTTAGTCCTAAAAATAGAATCATGACAAAAATGCTAATTCTTCGTTTAGACCAAGAAATACACTTCAAATCAGAGCTAAATTGTCTGAAGGTGAAAAGGGAGCTGAGTAAAACATCGAAACTACTCAATCTTAGTCCGTTTTTCGACAAGGATTACGATCTACTAAGAGTTGGAGGCAGACTTTCACAATCGAACTACCCAACAGATAAGAAGTTTTCAATACTCGTTTCGAAAAAATCTGATTTAGGATCCCTATTTATACGCAAATATCATGAAGATACTCTTCATGGCGGGGGGCAATTAGTACTGAACACAATGAGAGAGGAAATTTGGATAATTGGAGGCCGTGATCTAGTTCGACAATTCATTAGAAGATGCATGAGATGTGTCCGATTTAGTCAGCAACCTACTTCTCAATTCATGGCTGATCTTCCTACAGAAAGAATAACACCCGCAAAACCATTTGCTCAATGTGGAATAGACTTTGCTGGTCCCTTCGAAATTAAGGAAGCAGAGGTCTCAAAAATTTATGTTGCCGTCTTTGTTTGTCTCGCGACAAAAGCTATTCATTTGGAAATGGTTACTCGTCTAACCAAAGAAGCATGCATCCTTTCGTTGAAACGATTTACTGCACGCCGTGACAAACCTGAGAAGATCTTAAGTGACAATGGAAGCAATTTTATTGGGGCTCGAAATGATCTGATCAAAATCAAAGAACTGCTCGACAAAATGGAACGGACAAATCAGTTGTTAATTTCGTCAATAGCCAAGGAACTGAATGGGTCATCATCCCTCCTTGTCCTCCTCACTTCGGAGGACTCTGGGAAGCAGCTGTAAAAAGTATGAAGAGACATATGCGAAAAGTTATAGGACTGCAACGTCTCAGTTTTGAAGAATTTCTTACAATTCTTAATCAAATTGAAGCTGTCTTAAACTCACGACCACTGTATCCGATGTCAAGTGATCCTAACGACCCAACTCCGCTGACACCTGCTCATTTTCTGATAGGGGAATCATTGCTAACTCTTCCCTCTGCTGACATCCAAGTTTCAACCAATGTACGATATCGACTATTACAGAATTTGATCAAGGATTTCTGGAAAGTTTGGAAAAGGGATTACCTCATAACGCTACAAATACAGAAAAAATTGTTCACGGATGGCCCAGAAATTAAAGTTGGCAACCTAGTCCTACTTGCCGAAGACAATTAACGACAGCTAGAATGGAAAACTGGACGAATCATAGAAGTTTATCCTGGAAATGACTCGATTGTTCGAGTGGTAAAAGTGAAGACCACAACTGGTGAATACATACGCCCAGTCGCGAAGCTGCGGAAGCTATCAGTATAGCGACCAAGTCATATCTAATGTGCAGTTCATTTAAAACAAGAACTTTATAGTGCTAAAAACCGAAAAATATCAAAAATGTTCAGTTTTCAAATTTTAAGTGGTAGTACCCCCATGACCCTTTTGAAAGTAGGAATCTAAATTACCCCCTATGCAATGCATTATGGTCTGAATCGTTCATATTGACCACTTTCATGTAAATTCCCAATGTTGTATGTTCATAAAAGTCGAAAATGATGTAAATTTTCATCAATTTTTGTGCAAAATCGTGCATTAAAATTCGTATGAGGTTGTACCCTCATGACCCAAAATGTAATTATTCTCTGAAAACAGCTAGGATACGCCTACGCTACTGTCTTGAATGTAATAATCGGCTCTCTGATCACCTCAAACTGTTAAATTGTTATATTTGCCTTTAAATTATATTCAAAGATGTCGTGTTGTAATGATTTAAAACCATTAATTCGCATAAAATGTTTTTGTAAGTACACAAACTTTCGCTCATGACTCGTACCGTTAATACTTCACTTGTATACTCCTTACTTATGGTGCAGTCACATTAAGTTCATTTATTGAATAATTGTTTACATATTTACCGTTGAACAGTCATTCGCTGTCATGCGATTCGCTGTCATCTGGTCCTCTTCGCTTGTTGACCCTGCAGTGTTGCTGGCAGCGCTTCCACGCAGATGCTACCAAGGAAAGTCGAGTTTGCATCTCCGCATAATACATGCAGCAGACCCTCTCTTCGTCGCAGAGAGTCAGAACTGCATGGCACCACGCATATGGAAGATACAAGCTTTTCCCCTTCTCAAGAACACCATAGCGGACCAGTTTCTTCTGCTGAGAGCCAAGGTTCCTCAGATACTTAGCAGCATCAGTGAACCCCATCTCCGAATCATTGCTACCAGCCAGTGCACAATGACCCTTCTACGCTGAGGTCACTAATACGTTTAAGACCTCTAATTTGCTTCTAAAACAAAACAAACAATTGATGCACACCCGCTATACTCTACTACTATGATACAATGGAATAAATGCTACTCACAGTCTCAGCTTTCGGAAACCGCAGAACTGCCCTATCCACGATTGCAGCTTCCTTCCTTGAAGACTGGATCTCATCCAACGACTTTACAGGAATCGGAGTGAAACCCAGATCTCCTCTGGTCACTGCATCGAAGAAACCCTACAGGTCCTCCCTGTCGACAGCGCCCCGCCTACTGGACCTTCGCACCTCGCCATGTGGAGGCAGACGTGGTGCTCTACCCGACTCCGCCCTACTCTTCCTCTCCTTCGTCTCATACACTGTAAATGGGTAGTCATATCCAGACATAATAACGATCTGAAAATTGAAGACACTTCAAGGGAGGCGGAATGTTGAAGCCTAAAAAAGACATCTCAGCTTTCTACTTGAACTAAATCTACGATTGAACTGATTTACTTATTTAAAACCGCATTTAACAAAAATCAATTGACTTCTATCTATAACTCATCAAATAATTTACACTCTTTTCGAATCACTAGTTTTATTCAGTCGGATTGGTGATTTTTCGTTTCCCAACTTTTGCTGCACAACACCCCATTTTCCATGAATTCACGTTCTTCACGCTAAATCTCGTTTTAAAACATTTTTGTGTCAACGTCAACGTTCACGTTTTTCCGTGAAGCACCGAAGCCTGGATCTGGTGTAGTTTCCCGGTTTTCAAGAAAATGGCAACCCTGCACTTTTTGTGACATAGTAGGAATAAAGCTAACTTACATATTGAATATAGCAATTGGAGAGGTGCTTTGTAGTTGCTCCTGCTTTGTAGGCACTGAAGTGTGTATAGGCAACCTTCTGGATATGGGAAATCCAGTACATCACATCAGCACGGGCAATTGTGTTGGCGATTGGACGGTTGTTTAGGGGTAGTTTTCCCCCTCGAGCAAGACGCCCTTCTCCAAACACACCATATGTCGATGGGAGGTATTGACAATTGAACTGCGAAACTTCTGCTGAGGGTAGCGAGGATCCGGACCCGCCGGAAAGCTCTGCTTCTTCCTCATCGTCGGGTATTTCGGCTATTACAAAACTGGAACAGAAAGGAAACTTGAGGCTCGGTTTGAAAATTAAGTTTCTTATCTTAAAAGTGGAATAGACTTTGCTCAATGTGGAAAAGACTTTGCTGGTCCCTTTGAAATTAAGGAAGCAGAGGTCTCAAAAATTTATGTTGCCGTCTTTGTTTGTCTCGCGACAAAAGCTATTCATTTGGAAATGGTTACTCGTCTAACCAAAGAAGCATGCATCCCTTCATTGGAACGATTTACTGCACGCCGTGGCAAACCTGAGAAGATCTTAAGTGACAATGGAAGCAATTTTATCGGGGCTCGAAATGATCTGATCAAAATCAAGGAACTGCTCGACAAAAATGGAACGGACAAATCAGTTGTTAGTTTCGTCAATAGCCAAGGAACTGAACGGGTCACCATCCCTCCTCGTGCTCCTCACTTTGGAGGACTCTGGGAAGCAGCTGTAAAAAGTATGAAGAGACATATGCGAAAAGTAAATGGACTGCAACGTCTCAGTTTTGAAGAATTTCTTACAATTCTTAATCAAATTGAAGCTGTCTTAAACTCACGACCATTGTATCCAATGTCAAGTGATCCTAACGACCCAACTCCGCTGACACCCGCTCATTTTCTGATAGGGGATTCATTGCTAACTCTTCCCTCTGCTGACATCCAAGTTTCAACCAATGTACGATATCGACTATTACAGAATAATATCAAGGATTTCTGGAAAGTTTGGAAAAGGGATTACCTCATAACGCTACAAATACGGAAAAAATGGTTCACGGATGGCCCAGAATTTAAAGTTGGCAACCTAGTCCTACTTGCCGAAGACAATGAACGACCGCTACAATGGAAAACTGGACGAATCATAGAAGTTTATCCTGGAAATGACTCGATTGTTCGAGTGGTAAAAGTGAAGACCACAACTGGTGAATACATACGCCCAGTCGCGAAGCTGCGGAAGCTACCAGTATAGC